ATATTCGTTTGACATTCGTATTCTTCCCTTTTCTTCAGTTTGTTTGTATTTTGTTAACAAACATAATAATAAAAAATGTTCATTGTGGTGAACGAAATAATAATTTGATCTAAGTAAGAGTTTTTTTTTCTTCCCGATTTGTAAAAAAATTCTTACGTGAGAGAAAAAATTTAATATTATTTTCGAAATCTGCGTAGCTGAATTATGGAAAATCCGTTAATACAACCAAAACAACTTGTATGAAGTTTAAATTTGCAGAACTGTGTAATTTGTTATCCATTCATCGATATGTTTTGGTTTTTTGTTTTTTTAACAGTTTGAATTAGTTCATATTTGATTGATCACCAAAGAATGCGGTATTTTTGCATATTTGTGCAATTTTTGTTGTTTCGGGTAAGATATTTTGATATACTTTAATTTTTACAATTCCCTTTAAATAAACTTAATGATTTAGATCTGTGAGGCGATATCTTCAGCTGATTAAATTTGTAAACAAAAAACAAAACATGGGTATATTATACCCAGTTTTTATTCATCATTCTGTCTCTTTGTTGGATTTTGACATATAGTCCCTATTAATCTATCTTTAATTAGAGCCAGTTAATTATCTTCAAGCTCTTAGTTTGTTTGTTTTGAATTTCGCGCAAAGCTACACGAGAGTTATCTGCGATAGCCGTCCCTAATTTAGCAGTGTAAGACTAGAGGGAAGGCAGCTAGTCATCACCACCCACCGCCAACTCTTGGGCTACTCTTTTACCAAAGAATAGTGGGATTGACCGTCACATTATAACGTCCCATTATAACAGCGAGCATGTTTGGTGAGACGGGGATTCGAACCCACGACCCTCAGATTGCGAGTCGAGCGCCCTAACCACCTGGCCATACAGGGCCTCGAGCTCTTAAGCTTTGAACATTTCTAAGTAGTCGAGACGATATAAAGTAAAGTGTTCATATTTATCTAAGTGTATTCATTGTAACACAATGTAAATAAATAATTTTGTTGAGTGGGGAGGGGAGCTCCAACATTATTTATAAGATTGTAAACATCCGAGATTGTTTGCGGAAAAGTTGCACTCAAGATGTTTTTATAGTTTCAAACTTCTCGTTTCAGTGACTTACTCTATTTTTATACATTTATTATGGTTTCAACTAACTAATTCAAATAAACTTAGAATAAACTAGCATATGAATAAGTACATCATAAGAATTAATTAAAACTATTGCTTATATGAAAAAGTAATTATGTAAATATTTAACAAATGTACATGTTATATTTAGTTATCAACAACGAAATCGGTTTTCGGATGACTTCATCACTATAATTTTATAATCTGGAACATTAGAAAAATATACAAATTAACGGTGACTACACAGCAGTCTAAAATACTAAGTATTTGTATTTGATTATTTCCTGGTGAGAAATATTGATTACTAGGTTCCAGCTTCTTTCTTTAGTTTATCGTATTATCCTAGATGAGTACTTTGTTTGTGGTGCCCGGCATGGCCAGTTGGTTTCGAATCCCCCTCACAACGCCCTTTC